AATTTTTGCAAAAATTTTGCCTGAAACTCTCAGACTGAAGAAGTCTCTTGGAGGAGAGACGAAACGTTTCATTAGAGAAGAACCCGTCCAGAAGACCTATACAATTTTTTTCTTTTTGACTTTTTTATTTAAACTTACAGAATAAACTTACAGAACATGTCAGATGTACTACACCTCATTCACTTTTGGAGTCATGACCATCCAATATGGCCACCACAGCTGATGAACATTAGCAAACACAAAAAAGGCAATAACCTTGCCAGTTTCACAACCATTAGCCTAAATTCTGGTGTGGCGGTAATTGAGATTCATCCATAATTCCTAATCCAAGTGCTATTCATTGTGCAAATTCTATGTTTAACACTTTGACATTGACTGTTAGAGCTAACACTGTCTGTTAGCAAATTGTTTCATAAATCACTGAACAGACTTTAGACTTTACTGTCAGAAATTAATCATCTACAGATGTTAATAACTCAATGCAAGATGGCTGCCATAGATAATCAACCTTCGTCAAATTTGCAAATACTGAGCTAAATAAACAAAATCAAACTTTTCAAATGAAAATGTTTAGTGTTCAGATTTGTATTCTGAGAGCAAAGTGCTTCTTCTCCTCTGGGTGCAATTAATAAGATTAATGTGAAGTACCAAAGTACAGACTAATGGGTTCTTCAGTTATAGACACTGGCTACTCAGGAAAATGTTTCATTGTGTGCAAGAAATGATGTGGCAAGAAAGCTCTTTACACCACTCAGTTCATCTAAGGCTTCCAGTCATTTCGTTTTACAGAGAAACACCAGAGTGAACAGCGTTTCTTTAATGCCACTTCAACACAACTGGTTTCAGTTCTACTAAAACTTTAAGTTTTGTTGTTTAAAACCATTACACAAACATAGAATTACAGAGTTTTTGGATGAATGATGTTAGGAGAAGAAAAATGTTATTACCAACTTTCCTTTAAGTTGTTCCAAAGCTGACTGATTACTAGCAGAGGAAGTTTTTTATGCTTTTCACACATATTGCATCAAAAGCTTTTGAAGGGTATTCATTATGCAACTGCTTGATCTCCACCACGAAGAACTGATGCAAAATGGGTTTGATTTTTGAAAATGCATCCTGTTTTTGAATAAGCTTCCCTTAAGGAGAGAAGTATTGTATGTAATTGATTTTAAATCAAATAACTCATTCACTTTCAAATCAAATTTTGACAGTAACATTACATAAGATCTGTTTTGAAAGGGTAAAACTTACAGTAGTTTGTACATGCTGGATGTATACCATAGGACCTTTTATTTTAGTTTTTGTATTTTGTTTGAACAATCTTTTTAATTTTCATACATTTTGAGCAGCAGAGAAATGTTCCTCTTTGATAAAAATCGATGTAACATTTATTAAAGGGCCAGTATTATGTGTTTCTCAGGCATATATTTAAATACTATACCACAATAAGGTATCTATGTCACCTTTACCTGTTATTAAAATGCTGTTTTTATGTTTAAACAGAAAATAAACTTATCTTCTCATCACTTGCTCTTCTAAACACCTTGAAATTGGCCTCTGTCTCTTTAAGAACCACCTTCCGCTTCTGTCCCGCCCATTTCAGTGTGTGTGGGGGGG